GTGAGATGATATCTCATTGTAGTTTTGATCTGCATTTCTCTAATGGCTAATGATCATGAGCATTTCTTCATGTGTCTGTTAACTGCCTAAATATCTTCTTTGGCAAAGTGCCTGTTCATATCCTTTGCCCATTTTTTAATTGAGTTATTTGTCTTTTCCTGTTGAGGTTTTGCAGTATCTTGTAGATTTTAGAGATTACACGCTGATTGGATTTGTCGTAGCAAAACTTTTTTCCCAGTCTGTAGGTTGTCTTTTAACTCTTTTGGTGAAGTCTTTTGATGAGCATAAGTGTTTGATTTTTAGGAGCTCCCAGTTATCTAGTCTCTCTTCTGTTGTTTGTGCATTGTTACTTATAGTTCATTTTGTGTTTATGCCATGTATCAGGGCTCCTAGTGTTGTCCCTATTTTTTCTTCCATCATGTTTATTGTTTTCAATTTTATATTTAGGTCTTTGAGTTTTTGTGCCTGGTGTGAGGTATGGGTCTTGTTGCAATTTTTTGCAGCTGGATAGCGAGTTATGCCAGCACCATTTGTTAAAGAGACTGTCTTTTCCTCAATTAATGGACTTCGGGCCTTTGTCAAATATCAGCTTCTCATAGATGGATGAATTTATGTCTGGATTCTCAATTCTGTTCTGTTGGTCCATGTATCTGTTGTTGTACCAGTATATGGCTGTTTTTACTACCGTGGCGGTATAATAGGTTCTAAAATCAGGTAGTGTGAGGCCTCCCACTTTATTCTTCTTGAGTAATGCTTTACATATCCTGGGCCTCTTACCTTTCCATACGAAGTTGGTGATTTGTTTCTCCATCTCATTAACAAAGGTGGGTGGAATTTGGATTGGGATTGCATTTTATCTGTAGATCGCTTGGGGTAGAATTGACATTTTCACAATGTTGAGTCTTCCTATCCATGAGAAATGTATGTTTTTCCACTTCTGCAGGTCTTTTTTGGTTTCTTGCCGTAGTGTCTTGTAGTTTCATTGTATAGGTCTTTTATGTCTCTGGTTAGATTTATTCCTAAGTATTTCATCTTCTTGGGGCTATTGTAAATGGTATCGATTTGGTGATTTCCTCTTTGAGGTTCTGTTTGTTGGTGCAAAGGAATCAAAGTGATTTTTGTATGTTTATTTTGTATCCTGATACTTTGCTGAAGTCTTCTATTAGTTCCAGTAGTTTTCTTGTAGATTCTTTGGGGTTTTCTGTGTATAAGATCATATCACCTGCAAATACAGATGCTTTTACTTCTTCCCTACCAATTTGGATGCCCTTTATTTCTTTTTCTGGCCTAATTGCTCTTGCTAGGACCTCCAGCACAATGTTGAATAAGAGTGGTGATAGAGGGCATCGTTGTCTGGTTCCCCTTCTCAAGGGGAATGCTTTCAAAGTTTCTCCAGTTAGGATGATGTTGGCGGTTGGCTTTGCATAAATGCTCTTAATTATATTGAGGAATTTCCCTTCTATTCTTATTTTGTTGAGAGTTTTTATCACGAATGTGTGTTAGACTTTGTCAAATGCCTTTTCTGCATCAATTGATAAGATCATGTAGTTCTTGTCTTTTGTTTTATTTATTGATGGATCACATTGTTTGTTTTTCTAATGTTGAACCATCCCTACATACCTGGTATAAATCCCACTTGATCGTGGTGAATTATTTTTTTGATATGTTGCTGAATTCTATTCGCTAGAATTTTGTTCAGGATTTTTGCATCAATGTTCATGAAGGATATTGGCCTGTAATTTTCTTCTTTTGTGGTGTCTTTACCTGGTTTTGATATCAGGGTTATGCTGGCTTCATAGAATGAGTTGGTAGTATTCCATCCTTTTCTATGCTCTGAAACACCTTTAATAGTAGTGGTGTTAACTCTTCTCTGAAAGTTTGGTAGAATTCTCCAGTGAAGCCATCCAGGCCAGGGCTTTTTTTTTTTGTTGGGAGTTTTTTAACTACCTTTTCAATATCTTATTTTGTTATAGGTTTAGTTAGTTGTTCTACCTCTGTTTGTGTTAGTTTAGGTAGGTAGTGTTTTTCTAAAAATTTGTCCATTTCCTCTAGGTTTTCAAATTTTTTGGAGTATAATATTTCATATTCTGCTATGATTCATTTAATTTCAGTTGGGTCTGTGGTGTTCTCACCCATCTCATTTCTTATTCGGGTTATTTGCTTCCTCTCCTGTTTTTCTTTTGTCAGTTTAACCAATGGTTTATCAATTTTGCTGATCTTTTCAAAGAACCAGCTTTTGGTCTTGTTAACTCTTTCATTTGTTTTTCTGTTCTCTATTTCATTTAATTCTGTTCTAACTTTTACTATTTCCTTTCTTCTGGTGTCTGAAGACTTCTTTTGCTGCTCTTTTTCTTATTGTTCCAGTTGTAGGGTTAATGTTTTGATTATGGTCCTTTCTTCTTTTTGGATGTGTGCATTTATTGCTATAAACTGACCTCTGAGCACTGCTTTTGCTGAATCCCAAAGGTTCTGGTAGGAGGTGTTTTCATTCTTATTTGATTCTATGAATTTCTTTATTCCATCTTTAATTTCTTCTGTAACCCAGTATTTTTTGAGCAAGGTGTAGTTCAGTTTCCATGTATTTGATTTTTTTTCCTTCCTTTTTTCTGTTATTGATTTCTACTTTTATAGCTTTATGGTCAGAAAAGATACTTTGTAATATTTCGATGCTTTGGATTTTGTTAAGGCTTGCTTTATGGCCTAATATATGGTCTATTCTGAAGAATGTTCCATGTGTGTTGGAAAAAAAAGTATACTTGGCTGCTGTTGGGTGGGGTGTTTGGTATATATCTATGAGATCAAGTTCATTGATTGTAGCATTTAGAGCTTCCATGTCTTTGTTAAGCTTCTTTCTGGGTGTTCTGTCCTTCACCAAAAGTGGTGTGTTGGAGTCTCTTACTACTATTGTGGAGCTGTCTATCTCTCTTTTCAAAGCTGTTAGTTGGTTTCATGTACTTTGGAGCCCTGTCGTTGGATGCGTAAATATTTATTATAGTTATGTCCTCCTGGCGTATTGACCCTTTAATCATTATTTAGTATCCTTTCTTATCCTTTGTGATGGATTTTACTTTAAAGTCTATTTTGTCAGAGCTTAATATTGCCACTCTTGCTATT